ACTTTTGTTGCAGGTGGCCGGCCGGCCACACCCCCTAGCCGGCCGGCTAGGGGGTGTGGCCGGCCGGCCACCTGCAGCAAAAGTACCAGGCCGGCCGAGCTCCTTGCACTGTTCCCTTTACAGCTGTGGGGCTTTATCCCCCAGAAAAGATCTTTATCCGGGGGATATTTTGTGGGGGAGTTTTGCTCTCCTTTTCCCCCACCTTTGCACCCCCTTTTTGGCCTTTATAACAAGCAAGCTATATCACATGTTGGGGTTAGAAAAATTCTTCTTCAAGCTTCCGTAGCCAACTCCATCTTTATCCCTCTCATTTCCTTGAAAATTCCTAAGTCCCTAAGCACCATTTCTTCTACACCACCAAGCTCTACCACCACCACCTCATTTCCAGCAACAAGGAAGGCTTCTCAAAGGCCAAAGGAGCTACAAATTGATCCAAGAAGCAACAAAAGTCTTAGTCTTCAAGGGTGAGTAACATTTCTTCACTTTGACCCTTTTTGTTGATCCATTGGTTAGCCTTTTATGCTTTTTGTTTCAAGCTGCGGCCCTAACTGAAAAGGGCCCTTTTTTGAGCTCATCTTCACTTTTCATTAAGGGCTCAACCCTGTTTGAGCCCTCCATGACACACTTGCTTCATTGATCCTCTTATATGTCACAATCTTGCATGCTATTTTTGGCCCATGAGCAGTTTGTTTTCGAGCATGTTGTAAACTGATATTAGGCTTATTTTGAGCCCCTCTTAAACATTGAAGAAGGGCTCAACACCATTTGGGGTTTCCATGTTGTACCTACCTTTATACTCCTCTTTTCTTCCCCATTCTTGCATGCAATGGCAGCCTACCATGCTTTTGTTTTTGGCCATTTTACAGTTCTGAAAAAGTGTTTATTTTGGTCCATTCTCCATATTTCATTTAGGTCCTTTCATGGTTTGGGACCTCCATATGCCACTTCATGTTATATCTCTCTTTTATTCCCCATTCTTGCATGCAATGGCAGCCTACCATGCTTTTGTTTTTGGCCATTTTACAGTTCTGTAAAAGTGCTTATTTTGGTTCATTCTACATGTTTTGTTAAGGGTATTTGGCTGTTTGGTGATTATTTTGCATACCTCATGTTATAGCCAGACCGTGCTGTTGGTGAGCTGATAGCTGTAGCATTCCATATGCCATGTTTAGAATAGCCGAGCCTGCTATAGTTGCATTTTTGCATGTGTTGCATTAAGCATTTTTGTATACTTAGGATCACAAGGAAATTTTTCAGTTTGGGTTTAGCTTATACCACTTGCTTCATTACCCCTCTTTTGGCCTCTATTCTTGCATGCTATTTTTCCCCTACCTATGCTTGCTGTTTGGCCATGTTTATAACTGTGAAAGTGCATCTTTTGGGACTGTCTAGCTTCTGTCTTTGCATTGCATGTCCATATTGTGCATGTTTAGCATGGCTATAGGCCATTTCGGGTGCCTAAATTCGCATTTCGGGACATTTCCTTGCATTTCGCTTCATTTCGGGGCTGTTTTCCCTCATATTTTAGTGCTGAAATTCCATTAGTATGCTTGCATATCATTTTTACCATATTTCATCACATTTTTGCATCGCCTCGGTTTGCGTGCCCGTGTGCACGCATTTCGAGGCACTTCGTTTTCTGCCATCGGCATCTTATGTGAGTGTGGCTGAGGCTCTCTCATGTTAGTATAAGTCCTTGTTGCATTTTCCATGTCATGGTCCTCACCGACCAACCTTTGAAGAAGGTAATGCAGCAACCAGAGCTCTCTGGCAGACTCATGCAATGGTCAGTGGAACTCAGCCAATTTGACATCTCCTACTGACCTCGAACAGCAATTAAAGGGCAGGCTGTCGCCGATTTGTGCCCGTGTGCACGCATTTCGAGGCACTCCATTCTTATTTTTATCCGACGGCATCCTATGCGAGTGTGGCTGAGGCTCACTCATGTTGGTATAAGCCCATATCATGTTTCCATGTCATTTGCATTGTGTATGCATCGCCTCGGTTTGCGTGCCCGTGTGCACGCATTTCGAGGCACCTCATTTTTATCCGCCGGCACCCTATGTGAGTGTGGCTGAGGCTCACTCATGTTGGTATGAGCCCATTTGTCATTTCCATGTCATTTCATCATATCATATCATCGCCTCGGTTTGCATGCCCGTGTGCACGCATTTCGAGACACATATCATCGCCTCGGTTTGCGTGCCCGCGTGCACGCATTTCGAGACACATATCATCGCCTCGGTTTGTGTGCCTGCGTGCATGTATTTCGAGACACATATCATCGCCTCGGTTTGCGTGCCCATGTGCACGTATTTCTAGGCACATATCATCACCTCAGTTTGCGTGCCTGCGTGCACGTATTTCGAGACATATATCATCGCCTCGGTTTGCGTGCCCGCGGGCACGTGTTTCGAGATATGTCATTTTCTCGGTTTGCATGCCCGTATGCACGCATTTCGAGGCATCTCATTTTCATCATATTCTGCATTTTCTCGGTTTGCGTGCCTGTGTGCACGCACTTCGAGGCATCTCATTTTTCATAGCATAGTGCATACTAGGTTGTATCTTAGATTGCATTCTGTCATTTTCTCGGTTTGCGTGCCCGTGTGCACGCACTTCGAGGCATCTCATTTTTCATAGCATTGTGTATGTTAGGATTATATCTTAGTTGCATTTCATGCATGTCGTGCATGTTGCATCGTGTCCGGAATAGGAGTTAGCCCGGGCACGGGAAACGAGGTACATTTCGTACTGCAAGTGACGGAATGTGTCTCAATTCCCCAGTCACCGACACTCCAGATTATCCATGATAGAGTTAGGTTTTAGCTGTAGTTTCATGTGCATTCATCCTATATTGAGTTGTGCATTTCGACTCCTCGGCCATCATGCCTCGGTATGCGTGATTGGTGGCACGAGGATCGAGACATGCATATATCTGTGCAAATACATTGCTATGCCCCTTTCCTGCTCTCTGTTGCAGCAAAATGAAGAATCAACAACCTTTTGGGGCTTGGCACGCATTTCAAGAACAGGTGTAAACAGAGGCTAATTGGGGCTTTCCGGTGGATTTCTGCGCAAGACAATCCGGACATGCATCATCCACCAGAAGCAAGGCAGTCCCTGGCTTGCACGCCAGTTTCATTTACTTTCTGAGTTAATTCATTAATTAATTAGAAAAAATCTTACCTCTAGCTTGATTTTCAAATTATGGGATGGTTCTTCCCTAGCTCTCTTCTTCTCGTAGTACGAAAATGGGTTTCTCTCTTATTTCTCACTCCCTCTCTCTAGTTGAGCTCTCAACACAAAGCACAAAAGAATGAAGGGAATATTACACTTACATTCATCAGAATGTTGTACTCACATACACCTCACTTCTTGAATTGTACAACACGTGTGTACACTTACACACACCCACAAAGATTTCTCTTTACACACCCAGGTTACTATGTACACCCACCAGATTGTAATCTCCTACACTCAATATCATTCAATGCCCCAACACATACCACACTTAATCAAATCTTGAATTATAAATAGGATACCTTAAGTACAATCAAATGTCATCTTATTGAAATATAAATAGCCTTAACTAATCAAGATTAGCACACAACTCAATTTAATCAACCCAAAACAATTCCAATTAGGCTCAATTAAATCACATGCCATTTTACTAAACTGAATCAGTTTGTAATCACATTTTCCATATAACTCTAAATATTCCAATTAGTCTATTCATGTAGTCAATTTCAGTTTCTGAAATCATTTAGGCCATCAATTTTAAATTTTGAACACAAATCAGAACAAATAACTTCGAATCAAACAAAAACATACAAACTAATCACATGGCTCATTTCACAATTAGGGTTTAACACATAATTGATTAATTAATTATAATCATGATTAGCATTTTGGGGTCATCACAGGAATGGCAGATGTCACAACTTGGATTAGAGTTGTTCTCCTAGCTAGAGACAAGGTTTTAGCTTTCTACCCAATTAACCTTTTTTGAATTTTTTCAATAATATACTGGAAGTGGGCTTTGCTAGAACTATTATGAAGTAAGAGCATTCCAAGGTATTTCCCAAGGTCCTGGGTTAAAAAAATTCCACATTTGTGTCTGAGGTCCAAAGCTTTCTATCTAGGTACATTGGTGGATACAAATAGTTTGGATTTATGAAAATTTACTTTTTGCCCAAAAATCTCATAGAACTCCTAAAGGACTTCCATCATCACATCACATTGCACAAAATCAGCTTTGGCAAATAATATGAGATCATCCACAAAAAATAAATGAGAAAAGGACAAAGAATTTTTAGAGGCTTTTATTCCTTTCACTCACCTGCTTCAACTTTCTTAACAATCATGTTAGACAATCTTTCCATACACAGCACAAAAATATAAGGGGAGATGGGGTCACCCTGCCTAAGTCTTTTACCAGGTTTGAACTCAGGTAGGGTTTCCCCATTCCATAAGATAGCAGAGCTAACAGTGGTTATGCAACTCATAATCAAATCAACCATGTTAATATTCAAATTGAATTCAAGCAAAGTTTGGTGGATAAAAGCCCAAGATAGTCTATTATAAGTTTTTTCCAAGTCAATTTTGAAGATCATGCCACCAATTTTACCCTTTTTGGATCTAAGTGTGTGGATAATTTCCTGGGTTATTATAATATTATCATGAGTGGATGGACTAGGTATGAAGCTACTTTGAAAAGGTCTTACAATATTATCCAACAAAGGTCTGATTTTATTTACCAAAATTTTTGATAGAATTTTACAGCTCACATTACACAGACTGATAGGTCTAAAAAGTTTTATAGTCTCAAGATTATCAGTTTTAGGGATGAGAGCAACAAGGGTTTGGTTAACCTCCTAAGGGACCGCTCTAGTGTTAAAACAATCTTTAATAAAATCATAAGTAGATTGACCCATAATGTCCCAAAATTTCTAATAAACCACAGCTTGCAGGCCATCCTTACTGGGAGCTTTAAATGCTTTGATATTTTTAATAGCACTCTAAATATCACCATCAGTGATAGGTTTCAAGATCTCATGATTGTCTTCCTCAGTGAAGGCATTAATGGCAATATTATTCCAATTGTTCAAATTAGACACATCCTCGTGTTTGAAGAGATCTGAAAAGTAGTTTTGAATATAAGCCTGATCTCTTCAAGGTTGGAAATCCAAGCATTGGTATCATCTTTAAGAACATTAATTCTCAGTTTTTGTCTTTTAGTGAGAGTAGTTATGTGAAAAAAATTTGTGTTCCTATCGCCTTGAGTAATCCACTTACACCTAGACTTTGGAAACCAAGAATTTCCTCTTGCTATAATACGTGGTTGTACTCTTTTATGAGATCTTTCTCAATAAAAAGAAGGTTATGAGAGCAATAGGTGTCTTGTGCTTTTTGCACACCTTCAATCCTAGCCAAAAGTCTACATTTACATTTAAAGATATTTCAAAAAACCTCCTTATTCCATAGAATTGTGTTATTAAGGAACATTTTTAAAATCAGGATGAGAGAACCAAGCAACCTCAAATCTAAGAATTTTATTTAAAGGGGGTTTAGTTCTCATACCATCAATGAAGACAAGCATTGGTGAGTGATCAGAGTACGTACAAGGTAGATTTCTTATAGATTCTTCTAGGAAGTTAGTTCTCCATTCTGTGTTGTAGAGTGCTCTATCAAGCCTTTCCTTCACATTCGCCAATCCTTGCCTATTGTTGGTCCAAGTGAGTTTTGGTCTTTCGCAGCCAAGATCCATGAGATTACATCGATTAATCCTATCCACAAAATTATTGATTCCACCAACATTTTGATTTTGGAAAAAGTTTCTTCTTTCCTCTAAACTGGTGTAGTCATTAAAATCCCCAACTGCAAGCCAAGAACTTCGCATATTTCTAGGCATGTTTTCTAAGTTGCCCCATAATTCATCACGTTGCCTTGCATTTGGACTTGCGTAGATAGCTGAAAGTACCCACTCCTCAAAGGTTTTTTTTTTTTTTTTTGCACTATTGCATGAATGGCTTGAAAAGTTACTTCATACACTCTAATTCCAACTTGGTTTGGGTCCCATAGAACCCAAATACCACATGCTCTACCTGTAGGATCCACACTAGAGGATGCAGTAAATCCCATGTTGTTGAAAAACATAACCATTGAACTTAGGCCTACCTTGGTTTCCATGAGCACCAACATGTTGGGTTTATGAATTCTCACGATTTCTCTTACGCCGTGTTTGGTTGGGGGATTTGGAGAGAGATTTGGAAAGAGAAAAAGAAAATGTGTGTAAAACTAGGTGAAATATAGGTATGTTTTGTTCATATTTCACCTACATTTTTCATTTACCTTTCCAAATCCCTAATCAAATCCCCCAACTAAACACAGTATTAATGTTCTCTTGAAGATTTTGTTGCCGACTCCCCAACAATTCCAAATTGAATTGAATCGATCCACCATTCTATGGCGACTAAGTGAATTGCTTCGCTATTTGGTTCAAGAGATAACCTCAATTTGTTGTACTTCATCGAATGAATCTCTGCTCCTAGAATCGCTTCTTCGTTGCTCTCCATTTCTTGCCCCTCCTCCATCTCTTAGATCTCTCTCTCTCTGTTCCTCATATCATTTCCATATTCAAAGTGAGATATGTTTTGTTCTCCAAACTAGGGTTGGTTATGGTTAATAGCCTCTGCGTTATTATCATATAATAGAGATGAGGAGATATTGCTCATGCGGTTGGAGTTGTAAGCAGATTCCTTTCCAATCCAGGAAAAGAGCATTGGGAAGCAGTCAAGTGGATTCTGAGGTACCTCAAGGGTACAGCAAAAATGTGTTTGTGCTTTAGAGATGCTAAACCAGTCTTGGAAGGCTATACTGATTCCGATATGGCAGGCGATCTTGATGGTAGGAAATCTACATCAGGATTTCTGTTCACCTTCGCAGGGGGAGCTGTGTCTTGGCAATCCAAGCTGCAGAAGTGTGTTGCTTTATCCACAACTGAGGCAGAGTATATTGCCGCAGCGGAAACCGGGAAAGAAATGTTGTGGTTGAAACGGTTTCTCCAAGAGTTGGGATTAAAGCAAGAAAAGTTCACGGTACATTGTGATAGTCAGAGTGCCATAGACTTGAGCAAGAATTCGATGTACCATTCTCGCACAAAGCACATTGATGTTCGGTATCATTGGATACGCAAAGTGATGGACAAGCAGTTATTGGAACTGATCAAGATCCACACAGATAAGAATCCAGCTGACATGCTTACAAAGGTGGTCTCGAGAGACAAACTCGAAATTTGCAGAGACATTGCGAGGATGGAATTCAAGTGAGAAGTCAGTCATGCATATGGGTATGGAGGGGGAGAATTGTTGTTCCAACCCACATGCATGAAAAACGTGGGAAGGCAACCAACCAACATGCATGAAAAACGTGGGAAGGCAACCAACCAAGTCAAGATTGGCAGCCACCAACCATAGCAAGGGTCAAGAATGGAGGCTACCCAAGTCAAGAATGAAGGCTCTCCCACCTACTCCTTTTGTGTATAAATAGAGACGGGAGGGAGAGGATAAGAGATATCAGAAATTGGAGAGTAAGAGCTGTGAGTTGAGTGAGTTTCATCTCCTCCTCTGTATTTGTATTTTACTCCATTTTAGTGAAAATTCTCATTTATGTCCGTGGATGTAGGCATTGGGCCGAACCACGTAAATATTGTGTTCTCTGTGTGTGTGAGATATTTTTCTGGTTGTGTTTGATCCTAACATTATGGTCACAATCAAAGGAGATTAAATTTTTTTGCTGTTGATAAATGCATAAGAATTGTACAACAACATAAACATGCAATTAAATGCATCAATACTAGTAAGATTGGCACCCCAAACCAACTACTTACACAAACATCTATTTTGTGTCTTATATAACAAAGAAAGGGTTACATACCTACCAACATGGTTTATTATAGTCCTCAAAGCACACACACTTAGATGCATACAAAATTCCTAGTCTATTCATAGAGTGTATGAGGTAACGTTGGTGTCAGGATAGCAATGAGAGGTATTTTCTTCTTATTAAATTGATTAAATTGTAGTCAACTCTTAGATAACCCTCTTAAGCTCTTAACTTAGTCACTTTTATATCATAAGAGAAATATCTCCTGAGAGAAGGAGAGAGTTAGAGAGGGAGAGAAATGAGAGAAAGCTTCAACAAGGAGGAAGATTGGGAAATTGAGAAGGATTGTAGAGATTGGAGCTCAAGGTATGTATAACCCACTTTGAATAACCTCTCTCTTGGACTTGAGTGAGAATTTGTTGACATTCATGCAAGCTAGGGTTTGAGATTGGGGCCAAGAGTGTGATAGTTGGCTAATTGGAAAAGATGTCCTCATCATTTGGTTATTTTGAGTTAATTTGAGCCTTATGGAGGAATTACATCTTGCTCTTTGATTTTTCATGTTGAACTCACATGGTCGTACATATATAGTTCATATATCTAATGTAATCATAAACATAAGAGTATTGAATTGTTTATATGTAATTGAAGGGGGTTGACTTAATTGAGCTTGTGATCAGCAGTGGCTAGACATAATTCAGATCTGGGGAATTTTTATTTGGCAAACTATTTGATAATCCCAAGGAGCGGGCATCGAATTCGATTCTGGGTTGATACTTGGTTCGGTAGTCACAGTTTGTGTTTGGAGTTCCCAAGACTTTATTCACTGTCTGTTGAGAAGGAAGTGTCTTTGTGTACCATTGTGGAAAGAAAAAGTCAGTCGGAGGAATGGGTTTTTAATTTTCGCAGAGTACTCAGAGCTTGGGAGGTGGAAGAGTTGGGTCGGCTTTGTGCCAGGTTAGATGCAGAGAATTTTCATTTATCTGCTGAGGAAGATAGATTATGTTGGAAACCATCCCCCTCAGGTGAATTTTTGGTTGTGTCTCTTTATAGTAGGAATGCGGGAGGTGTTTCCTCGAATGTGCCCTCTTTGTTATGGAATAATCTCGCTTCTTCGAAAATGCAATTTTTTGGGTGGTTAGCGTGGAAAGGTAGGGTAAAGACAGTGGCTTACCTCCAGAGAATTGGAGTCCTCGGTGGCAGTGTTTGTAAATTGTGTAAATTTTGCAATTCCGAAGTTGAGTCCGCTAACCATGTGTTATTATTATGCCCGGCAATTTGGAAGGTGTGGTCCAGTTTGGTGGATTGGTGGCGATTACAATGGGTTGCTCCTGGAACAATTGGGGGCCTTCTTGAGTGGTGGGCTGGCTTTAAGTTTAAAAAGCTCGAGGGAGCAGTGTGGAAATCTATTCCATTGACTCTGTTGTGGTCCATTTGGAAATGTAGGAATGATTTTGTGTTTTCAGGTGTGCATCCACAGCTGGATTTGCTCTCTGGGTAAAGGTGTAAAGGTGTGGATTGCTCTTTGGGTTAGGTATCATCACCCCAATTGTAATTACACAGTACATGATTTGGTGTTTAATTGGCAGCAAATCCGATATTCCAAGTGAGACAGGTGGGCTTTTGTGCAATAGAGGTGCTGGTTTTATCTGCTTTGGCAGATTGCTCTATTGGTAACTGTGTTGGTATCTATTGGGGTGGGTATGGGGTGGAGTTATAAGAAGTTCTAGGTTTGCTTGGGTAATGACCTGTTGGTCTCTGTGTTGGTATCATTTTGGATGGTTTCCTGCTTCTGTTTTTTTGATGATGCTGAAGGTTAGATGCTCTGTTAGTTCTGCTTAGATATTATGTTGGGTTTGGCTGTTGCTGTTTAGGTATTAGTTTGGGTGTGGCTGGGTGTCTCGCCAACTTGATGATGTGATTGCATATGATTCGTCATGATGCGTATTGCACTCATCTTTTTGTTTCTTATTTATTGATGTAATATTTCCTTGGTCATCAATGAAGTTTCTTATTTTTTGCTGATCAAAAAAAAAAAAAAAAAATGCCCCGAAGGTAAGAAACAAATTATGAACGAAGAAAATAATGTACATTACCTAAAAAAATAAAAATAAAAATAAATGATGCTAGCTTGATCTTGACTGCAAGACTTAGAAAAAAATCCCCCTCGTTACACCAAATCCTTAGACCCATCAACTAATTCAATATTTTAACTAAAGACAGATGGAGTCAGAGTTAAGACGGTGACGAGAGAAGAGAAAGAATAACAAGAATTTAGAATATGAAAGAATAACAAGAAGTTATAATATGCACATGAGTACTATCTGTCTTTTATTATGCCAGACCTGTTTTCATTAATATTGTCAAGAAAAAAAAAAAAAAAAAAAAAAATCATTATTGATTATTATAATATTCTTTGATTCTTATGTAATTAATATTTGTCATTCATCTACGAGCACAAATCAAAACGAAGAGGGGTTGAAGATATTCCAACCAAAAAACCAGCTAAAGCAAAAGTAAAAACAAAGCAACCATAGGCAACAATAGAAAAAAATATATATATATATATGTGAAATAAAGTCATATTCAACCAACATTCCATTTTTTTTTGAAATAGCCAAAGGGAAAATTTATTGATAATGATCAAGCAAATTCAACCAAAATTCCTTTGTTAAAGTCAAAATCAATAGACTCCACAGCATACACGTCCCCAGAATATTTACTCAAGTAATAGCAATGGCAAGCAAAAGAATCCTTTACCTAAACAGAGCCAAGCTGGAAGGCGAAAAAGTTAAAAAACAACAACAAAAAAATTCTGGAAAAAGGAAAAACCAAAAAAATTATTAAAAATGACCAACATAAACAATAAAAAGACTGAAAACCATTTTCCAGAAACTAGTAAGAAAATAGCATGCCAATAACAATATACAACAAAATAATTAAAATATTTAACAAATGTATCATACAATTTATATTTTAAACTGATAATATTTTGTGTCAAATAATATGTATATTAAAAAATCTAAATTTTTGCAAATAATATTTTAGACATCATCACAATTAAATAATATGATTAACATCAGTTCTAGTGAATGGATCTCCAACCAAAGAATTTTGCCCACAAAAAGGACTTAGACAAGGTGATTCTCTGTCACCATTTTTATTTACTGTGACAGCAGAGGTGCAATAACCCGACCCTCTTATATGCTTTCGGATATGCTTTCAGTTTCTTATTATGCGCACTTATATGGTTAATGTGCAATTCCATGTGTAATTAAGTCTAATTGTGTGAATTATATGATTATGAGTTTATATTTGTCAATTATGAGAAAAATCTATTACCATTGTGATGTTTGGATTAGTAATTGGATGCCTTAAAGGCGCGATTATCCGAAATTGACCTTAAATTTGTGACGAGCACGATTTTTAGATTATAATATGAATTTTTGTAAAAATTTGATTTGCAATGATTAAATTGTAGTCAAATCTTAGATAACCCTCTTGAGCTCTTAACTTAGTCACTTTTATATCATAAGAGAAATATCTTCTAAGAGAAGGAGAGAGTTAGAGAGGGAGAGAAAGGAGAGAAAGCTTCAACAAAGAGGAAGATTGGGAAATTGAGAACGATTGTAGAGATTGGAGCTCAAGATATGTATAACCCACTTTGAATAACCTCTCTCTTGGACTTGAGTGAGAATTTCTTGACATTCATGCAAGCTAGGGTTTGTGATTGGGGCCAAGAGTGTGATAGTTGGCTAATTGGAAAAGATGTCCTCATCATTTGGTTATTTTGAGTTAATTTGAGCCTTATGAAGGAATTACATCTTGCTCTTTGATTTTTCATGTTGAACTCACATGGTCGTACATATATAGTTCATATATCTAATGTAATGATAAACATAAGAGTATTGAATTGTTTATATGTAATTGAAGGGGGTTGACTTAATTGAGCTTGTGATTCATGATTATTGTGATGTTATACACTTATGATTCATGTATTGTGATGCTGCACTATAATATTGAGTTGATTGCCCCCATTTTGTGCCTTATGATGTGTTTACCTGGTTGAATATTGCCTAAATTCGAATTGCTCAAAACAGGGGCTGCAATCGCATGTGCGGGACTCATGGCCGCACGTGCGTGAAGCACCACCACACGAGCGGGGCTCGTAGCCGCACGTGCAGAAAATAGGGGAATGCAAAGATGAGGTACTGAAATATATGCACGTGCGGGGCGCACGTGTGGCCCATCTTCCCGCACGTGAGGCGAGGGGCTTCCGCACGTGCGGCCTAAGGGGAAAAATCTAGTGTGTTTCTCTCCTTCTGTTTGACCCTCTGGGACAGTTAAAATGTGTATTTAAAGCTTTAAAGTGTTTGTAAATTAAATGGAAGTCGAACGAATCGGATATTGGTTAAAAGGAAAATGGAGTGACGTATGAATTGCATGTGTGTGTAGGTCCCATACCAAAAAGGACTATCGCTCCTCCACAGCACTGTGAGTAATAATATTGTAGTGAGATGCTTATTTGCTGCTAATAGTTATTGTTAGCATACCGTTAATGGTGAATGAGCTATGTCTCTATGTAACGAACAATCGGAAAACTCATGTGCGATATTGGACAATGGTATACTTATGGACCTGAGGTCGTTTATTTTTGTTAATGCTGGGCCTGAGGCCATTCGGATATAAGTTACATTTGATGACAGTCTGAGACTGGGGGAGGTGATGACATGTCGATGCCTCATCGACCCTAATATCATTTGAATTGATTATGACTCATGGCCTAAGGCCGAGAGAGGTAGTGTACATGTAAGAAAATAGCATGCCAATAACAATATACAACAAAATAATTAACATTACCTAAAAAAACCCTTAATTTTAACCAACGGAATCACAAAAATCTGTACATGAAACAAAATCAATAGACTCCAAAGGATACACGTCCCCAGAATATTTACTCAAGTAATAGCAATGGCAAGCAAAAGAATCCTTTACCTAAACAGAACCAAGCTGAAAGGCGAAAAAGTTAAAAAAAAAAAACAAAAAAAAAAATTTTGGAAAAAGGAAAACCGAAAAAATTATTAAAAATGACCAACATAAACAATAAAAAACTGAAAACCATTTTCCAGAAACTAGTAAGAAAATAACATGCCAATAACAATATACAACAAAATAATTAACATTACCTAAAAAATCCCTTAATTTTAACCAACGGAATCACAAAAATCTGTACATGAAACAAAATTAGCATAACTAAAGAATTTTGGATGAATCTCTTAGATGAAAGAGTGTGTAACAACAGCTAGGGTCTCAGTTCTAGTGAATGGATCTCCAACCAAAGAATTTTCACAAAAAGGACTTAGACAAGGTGATTCTCTGTCACCATTTTTATTTACTGTGGCAGCAGAGGTGCAATAACCTGACCCTCTTATATGCTTTCAGGTATGGTTTCAGTTTCTTATTATGCGCACTTATATGGTTAATGTGCAATTCCATGTGTAATTAAGTCTAATTGTGTACATTATATGATTATGATTTTATATCTGTCAATTGTGAGAAAAATCTGTTACCATTGTGACGTTTGGATTAATAATTGGAGGTCGTAAAGGCGCGATAATCCGAAATTGACCTTAAATTTGTGATGAGCATGATTTGTAGATTATAATATGATTTTTTGTAAAAATTTGATTCGCAATGATTAAATTGATTAAATTGTAGTCAACTCTTAGATAACCCTCTTAAGCTCTTAACTTAGTCACTTTTATATCATAAGAGAAATATCTCTTGAGAGAAGGAGAGAGCTAGAGAGGGAGAGAAAGGAGAGAAAGCTTCAACAAGGAGGAAGATTGGGAAATTGAGAAGGATTTTAGAGATTGGAGCTCAAGGTATGTATAACCCACTTTGAATAACCTCTCTCTTGGACTTGAGTGAGAATTTGTTGACATTCATGCAAGCTAGGGTTTGAGATTGGGGCCAAGAGTGTGATAGTTGGCTAATTGGAAAAGATGTCCTCATCATTTGGTTATTTTGAGTTAATTTGAGCCTTATGGAGGAATTACATCTTGTTCTTTGATTTTTCATGTTGAACTCATATGGTCGTACATATATAGTTCATATATCTAATGTAATCATAAACATAAGAGTATTGAATTGTTTATATGTAATTGAAGGGGGTTGACTTAATTGAGCTTGTGATTCATGATTATTGTGATGTTATACACTTATGATTCATGTATTGTGATGTTGCTCTATAATATTGAGTTGATTGCCCCCATTTTGTGCCTTATGATGTGTTTACTTGGTTGAATATTGCCTAAATTTGAACGGCTCAAAACAGGGGCTGCGACTGCACGTGCGGGAAGCACCACCACACGTGCGGGGCTCACAGCCGCACGTGCGGAAAACAGGGGAATGCAAAGCTGAGGTACTGAAATATATGCACGTGCGGGGTGCACGTGTGACCCATCTTCCCGCACGTGCGGCGAGGGGCTTCCGCACGTGCGGCCCAAGAGGAAAAATCTAGTGTGCTTCTCTCCTTCTGTTTGACCCTCTGGGAGACTTAAAATGTGTATTTAAAGCTTTAAAATGTTTGTAAATTAAATGGAAGTTGAACGAATCGGATATTGGTTAAAAGGAAAATGGAGTGACGTATGAATTGCATGTGTATGTAGGTCCCACACCAAAAAGGACTATCGCTCCGCCACAACACTGTGAGTAATAGTACTGTAGTGATATGCTTATTTGCTGTTAATAGTTATTGTTGGCATACCGTTAATTGTGAATGAGATATGTCTCTATGTAATGAACAATTGGAAAACTCATGTGTGATATTGGACAATGGTATACTTATGGACCTGAGGTCGTTCTGTTCTGCTATTGCTGGGCCTGAGGCCGTTCAAATATAAGTTACATTTGATGACT